CCCCAAAACCCCAAAACCCCAAAACCCCAAAACCCCAAAACCCCTGTAAAGGCCTTAAGCTTGAAACTTTTTAGGTTCTAAAATATTTCTTCGATAGATTTTAATGTTTTATGCCCATTAAACTCCTGCACTTGTTCAACAGCTTTGTTAAGTACACCTAATTGGTTAATCAGAAGGATATCAGAGTATTCTGTGAATAGCTCCCCACTATATTCATTCTTATCACTAACAAGAGGAAGTCTATTGCAAATACTTGTAATCTGTCTCATAATTTCATGATTTTTCTTGATTTCTGGCATATTTTGGATCATCTGTATCAAAGACATCACACTCTTCCTCAGGAGCTTAATTGAGTTCAGAGTAGTTGTCAAGTTAACGCTAAGCTGTGACTTATCCTTGGCAGAACTGATATCCTTCTTGGCATCATCAAGTGCAATCCTTTCTGTTTCAGTTGGTTCAACCATATAGTCACATTTAACTAACTTTTTAGTATCATTTTTCTCAAATATAGACAGTGACATGTCCTTTTTGGAGTGACCCTTCTTCTCCTCTTCGAGTCTTCTTTCTAAAGATACGTTCATCTTAAGGAATAGGGGATTTTCTCTGAAAACCTCAAATTGTTTGTATACGCTCTGCTCTAGTTCGCTTGAGTCTTCCTCTGATTCACTAGTGCAAGTAGTGTACCACCCTAAAAACTCGAAATCATCGAATAACTTGGTATAAGAAGTGAGTCTTCTATTAGTATAAGGCTTATCAATGGCCATCTGTTCCTCATCAAACTTAGTTTCGAAGCTATGGAGCACTCTGATGTTCTTTCCTTCTTGTTTCCCAAGGAGGACTCCAAACACCTTGGCTTCCAAGGACTCCTTGATGTATCTCATTCTAGTGTAATGGTCAGTAATGTTCATGATTACTAGTGGACTCAAGGTGATTGTGATCCCTGATGTGCTCATCTTGGATATTTATATTAAAAAATTTCGGCAGATTGGCTTTTAAAGGGGTTTTGGGGTTTTGGGGTTTTGGGGTTTTGGGGTTTTGGGGTGTGAGGGGTAATCTTGG